AGCACCCCAGCTGCTCTGCCCCAGGCGTCCCCAAGTCAGCTTCTGCTGAAACTGACCAGCGCTGACTTCAGGAAGCCCCAGGCAGAGTTGCTCTGCCCCGGGCTTCCTGGAATCAGCTGCTGATCAGTTTCAGCAGCAGCTGACTTGGGGACGCCTGGGGTTCTTAAGTTGATTCTGTATGTAAGTCAGAACTGGCGGTCAGTTTCAGCAGTGTCTGAATCTGGACGCCAGTTCCGACTTACATACAGATTCAACTTAAGAACAAACCTACAGTCCCTATCTTGTACGTAACCCGGGGACTGCCTGTATTTATAAATGATCTAGAGAAAAGGGTAAACAGAGAGGTGGAAAAATTTGCAGATGATACCAAACTACTCAAGATAGTTCAGACCAAAGGAGATTGTGAAGAGTTTCAAAAAGATCTCACAAAACTAAGTGATTGGGCAACAAAATGGCAAATGAAATTTAATGTGTATAAATGTAAGGTAATGCACATTGGAAAAAACTATACATAAAATATGATGGGGACTAATTTAGCTACAACTACTCAAGAGAGAGATCTTGGAGTCACTGTGGATAGTTCTCTAAAAACATCCACTCAGTGTGCAGCGGCAGTCAAAAAAGCAAACAGAATGTTAGGAGTCATTAAAAAAGGGATAGACAACCATTTGTTTCGTATCGTAGCAATAGTTATGTCATTAGTCTGCTAACCTTCTTCCATTGTAGGAGTTTGTCTGTGCTCTGCTGTGAGCCATTTTAGCATAGTTTTTCAGATAGTATGTTAATGATTCCCAAACAAAACCTGCTCGTTTACATGTAAAAGGGTGTTTTTTGAAATTGCCCTATTGCCAGTCTAACTTGGGATCTGAGTGAAGCTGGATTCTTTCCAGTCTGTGCAGCATCATTGTTTTGTAAATCCACCTGTAAAGGAATTCATGTACAGATTCTTATTCTGACTGAGGCACTTTAGTCTGAAACAGCTAACCCAGGACAAGTTGTACTTTTTTTCCTTATGAAAAAAGCCAATAGCTCATTAATAATAAATATCTGAATTAAATACCACGCACTGGATGACTCTGCTTTATTAACTGTGACATCTTTTCCTGAAGAGTCTTCATTTTTTCTTGAGTAGCTTTTATTTGCAACTCACAGCGTTTCTGTTGCAGTTCACTAACATACGCTACTTCACAGCTATGCTGAGTTAGGCACTGAATTTTTCTCAGTATTTTCCTCTCATACTGAATAAAATAGTCTTTCATGATCTGGGGATAGAAGTGCACAGACATTTTATTTTACTTACAAGCAGAAAAATTATTTCAGATGTATTGTATTAAAACACACATTGCTTTTCAAAGGGAGAAATTGGTCAGTGCTAATTTATCACGATGGCTGATTCAGCACATTTGAAACAGGAGGACCAGGATGGGCAGTAAAAGTGGAATTTTAAGTGACATGTGATAGTGCAGGAAGGAATCAAATTCAATTTATTAGAATATTTAAAGTCACTAGTCAGGCATTAAGAAGTTTAATGTTCACCCAGATGCATCTCTTAAATTAGAGTCAATTTGCCAATAGTAATTTCAAGAGAAATAGGAGAAAAATGATTTGGCTGCAGAATGCTTTTGGCAGGTTTAATCTCTCAGAACATAGCTATCTAGCATACGAAACAGACATAGAGTGCGCAATATGTGGAATCAAGCAGGTTCCACTCAGCTCTTTTAGTATTGTGTTGGGAGATGGGAATCCTCAGCATATCCTCCAGACTCACTAAATGGCTTTTTAAGAACTTAAACAAAACAAAAAAAACCAACCCTCCCAAACCCGACCCTACAAGCCTTCCTCACCAATCCACCCACCACAGCCCTTTTTTAAAATCCTCTTAGCAGCAACACTTGAATTGATAGCCCGGGAAAGAGAAAAAGGGCTTGGAGAGAGAGGAGGATATTAAGAAATTAGTTTAATCCCTTACAAATCTCATGGTGAGTGTTCATTTACAGCTGTAACCAGAACAAAGATTACATCAACAATCCTCAACTGTCAATAAAAACAGGCTATGGGCATATTAGGATCATGTAACTCAATACAAATATGAAACTGCATTCCCTTACTTGCATAACAAGCCCTTTATCATAGGTCTTAAATCATTTGACTGCTCTAGTTTGTAAAAAACATGGATGAATCCTTATCACTGTGCTTCCCCATAACAATTCTTGTTAGACAGTTACACTGACTATATATGATAGCATGTCCTTTTCCTAGGAAACCAACACAAAACTACTCTACTTACCTGATACAACATCAATTTAGAATACAAACCAATTACATAAAATAGTGTTACCTGGCCGCAGCACAATGTTGAGTTCTTTGGTGGTTCTGAAGGCTCCTCTGGCTATATTCATAAATAAAGCAGAATTAATATTTATAATGAGGATATTAATTTCTATGCTTGAACTTAGTAGTAGTGAAGAAACATTTGTATAATAATGAGTTGCTAAATAGATGCAAAGACAGAAATGAGGAATAAGGAGGGCAAGATTCAGAGTCAAACATCAATCAACCCAGGAGCACCTGAGAGAAGAGAAATGCAGGTTCCTGAGAGTTGTTGCAAGAACTCTGAAGAGGCAAAGCAAATCTTTAGTCCCCACTGGAGGACACACTGAAACTTTCCCACAGATGAGTTATTCACCTATTTCATTCTAAGCTAAAGCTGGGATGTAAAAACTCTATAAGCTGCAGAAAACGGTGATGGGTTGAGTCACACACCTCTGAGGAGTTAGATCTAGAACCTTCCACCCTCTAGTACAGTAATTACTCATTTAACACATGCCCGCTTAACACATTTTCACAATAGCACAATTTTTTGGGGGGAACTTTTTTCGAATAACATGACCATCCCCGAAATAACACAAAAATAATGAAGTGGTGGACAACTTTGTGCGGCAGTATAAGTTGGTGAAAACAGTGGCAATACGCATGGGCTGATGAATACACCTGGTCGCAGCGTTCTTCCGCTCAGTCACGTGTTTATCTTTGTGTTTTAACAAACTATGGCGACTTGTGTTGCTAGATATCTAATGCTGATGTTGACGACCCAGCACCAACAAAAAAATTGACTTTGTCACCACCACCTGAAACGCAACCTTCACCTTTTCCATTATTTTTAATGGGAAAATTGACCCCGCATAGCATGTTTTCACTTAGCACGAACGTTTTCAGAAACGCATCTATAGTGTTAAATGAGAAATTACTGTACTAAGAAATCTTTCTAATTTGATTTAAAGGAAACCTCTTGCTGGCCATTCTTTTCTTCGCTACAGTTGTAATTGAGTCATGGGCAACTCTTTGGTCCATGGGCTGCATGCAGCCCCTCAGGGTTCTATGTGTGACTCATGAGACATCTTGTTTCTAGTTGCCCATACACAGCCTGAAATTGCAAGTTCACATACCTTAAACATAGATACAAGATCCTCAGCAGACATGCAATTAAGCTGTTCTCTTGACAGTTTGCAGTCTGGCAAAAAATACAACAGGACTTCCCTAAAATATGTCAAGAAAATAAGTTGTGTGTCAGTAACCTCAAGTCTTGTACTGTGGAGTCCAAGGGATCCAGCCTGAATGCGTCTAATCAAGACACCTAACAGTAACTTGCTGTAAAAAGTGTCCCTCTTACTCAGGTGCGACAGACTGGACTGTAAGAAATGATTTAGATATGTCAGGACACTATATATACACCCGGGTTGTACCTCCCTTAACTGGGACTCCCTGATCCAGCAGCGGTCAACGGAGCCCAGGAAGAGGGAAGTCTGGCAGCACAGCAGGAGTGCCGTAAGGAGCATTGTCGACTCAGCCAGGAATCCAGAGTGTGTGTGTGTGTGGTGGGGGCGGAGGGGAAGGGCTGATGGCATGGCGGGGAGTTCTGGCTCCAGTGGCCGGGGAGCTCTAGCCTGGCCACAGCCCTACCTCTGGCCCCAGCCAGCGAGCTCCAACTTCAGAGGCAACCACGGAGCTCTGGCCCCATTCTGTCTCCAGTGGCCAGGGAACTCCAGCCCCAGCAGCAGCCGGTGAGCTCTGGCCCAGACCCAGGGGGCTCCATCTTGTCCCTTCACTCTGGCACTATGGAGCTCTGCCCTGGCTGTGCAACTCTGGCCGTAGCACATCCAGTCCCGGAAGTAGTGGGGGTGAGGAGAGTCCCAGGGGGCTGAGACAGCAGCAGGGGCAGACTGGAGCCCTAGCCCAGAAGCAGCACTGCCACAAGGGAGCAAATCCCCTCATCTGGGACCAATCAGGTCTCGAGGGTGCCAGACCAGTGAGGTCCAACGTGTGTGTATAAATGCTATAGCGCCTCAGAACTCGGTAAAAAATATGAGAACCACCAAATTGGAAAAAATTAAAAACCTGTTTTTAAATTAGCTAAATACAATAATAAACAACATGAACTCATCCAGCAGCCACACTCTGTGGGATCCATTGTGTCTAAGTTAAGGAAATGGACCTGAGGCCTGGATATAATTTTTGAAATTTCAGTTCAGGTCTTTTTTTTAATACAACTGGAAGGGACCTTGAGAGGTCATTGAGTTGAGTCCAGTCCCCTGCCCTCATGGCAGGGCCAAGTACCCTCTCTGACAGATTTGCCCCAGATCCCTAAATGACCCCCTTAAGAACTGAACGCACAAACCTGGGTTTAGCAGGCCAACGTGCAAACCACTGAGCGATCCTTCCTCCTTCAATACTATACCAACAAGGAGCTGGAATAGTACTTTACACCAAGAAATAGTCTTTCAACCAAGGATGCCCAAAGATATTATTTATAAAAAATGTCATCCCTGTTTTTCAGAGGGGCAGATTGAGGTAGAAAGAAAAATGATAATGAATCAGTGGGAGAGGACAAGAACTGCACTAAGGGGGCATCTCTGGACAACCACAGACTAAAATCTTTCCAGCCATTTCATTCAGCTCAAGGATGTGGCCTAACAGTGCTCTGAACCCCTGGGAGAGTGTGACTGCCCATACTAAGCAATAAGTTTTGTGGGAGATGTGGTTTGGCTCCAAAATCAATTCAGTCCACTGGCTGAATGGATAGTGGTTGCCCTTTACAGACATGGGGATAAAAAAAATAGCTGAAACAGGGAGCATGGATGGGGTGACTATGTTGTTCGATAACAGTGTTATTTACAACATTTATATGGCTTTCCAAGCCAATAATCTTTGTTATGAAGCATTTGATTCTTGAATAATTAAACACTTCCTATGCAGTATTTGTTCCTGATGTTTTAAATTCACTCCCACTAGCTCCAGCAACTGAATTATATGAGCAATCAAAGTCAGAAGTCCAGCATTCATGAAAGCTCCAGTGTAAGCTCTTGTAAAATCCCACTTCACTCAGTAAATTACTATGCAACAAATGAAGAAGGGAAATGGGTTTTCTGCAAGTTTCATTTTATCCACTGAAAGCTTAGCTGCAAAATTGGATGTGGACAGTATTTCAGATGGCTATACAGATAATTACTTTTGATACAAAAATATTAAGCCAACTACTGTGGTAAGAAAAGAGCCAAATACTTAACAGTTCCATCTGGAAAATAGAATTTCTGCTATTCAAAATACAAAACCCAAGAACTCAACTGGTTAAAAGAGGAACATATTTCATTCTCAAAAAATTCATGTTCTTGTTAAAAGCTTTGCTAGCGCATGTTACATAGCATTTACTGAACTGGATTTTTCTAAATATACAACCAGCATTGTGCAATGAAGTGAATAGATTGAATCTAACATTTGCAAAAGTCTAAGTATGTAGACCCTGATCTGCATACAGCATCTGAGAACAAGTATCAATTTAAGCTGGCCACACTAAAGTGCATTGCATAGGCTTTTGACGATCTGATCCAGTTTTTGTAATATTTTGGTCAGTCTACATAGATTTAAATTCTAGTTAGATTCACTTATGAACCTCTGAAACAGAAGCTTAAATTGTGACACTACTCAGTGAAGGTCACATCAACAGTTGCAATTGGTAAGATGCAGTGAAAGTATTAGAACTATTAAAGTTAAGGCATTTATCTTAACGCTCACCTTAAAAGAGATGTTAATGTTTTTATAGTTTCCTTTCTAGATGTACACTGAGAAGATTCTTCTGTGTGGGCTACAACGCCTGTCTCTTGCATAACAACTTTGACTTTTCCTTTGGCACATCCTTCTGGATCTTTACCCAATGCACTGGATATCAAGTAAACCAAAGATCATATTTAAGTATTACACCAAAAGGAAATTGAAGAGACAATTTCTCTTCCCTTAGGGTATATCTAGATTGTGTGGCTATTTTGAAATAAGCTATTCTGGAATAGTTATTCTGAAACAGCTTATTTCAAAATAGCACGTATACACTGCAGGGAAGCCTCGAAATTAGTCCAAGGCAGGCTTCCTTAATGTAGACGTGCTATCTTGATTTAGAGCCCCAGGAGGCACTGGGAAGGAATAACTTAGAATGGCCCTGGTGAGGGGCTATTTCAAAATAGCAGCAGTGGAAGGACTACACGTCTCATTTCAAAATAGCATTCTCGTAGAATGAGGTTTACAGATTTCTGAATAAGCTGTCTGTTATTTAGAAATTACAGAATGGCTGTGTAGATGCTCTCACTGTTATTTCTAAATAACGCTAGTTATCTCAAAATAATAGTGCAGTGTAGCTACACCCTTATTCATCATTGAGTTCATAGGGGGAGCATGGCTACAAATAAAAACGACACCATGGAATCCTGAAGAACATAAAACATGTTTAGTGACCTGAGAACACTACGCAGGGGGGAAGCCGGTGGAAGCCAGTGCTCAGGGGGAGTGGCATTTCAAGCCAGCTCTCCATGAGCACCAGCTCCCATCTGACTCCCCCTGATAAAGAGACAGCAGTGTAGGGGTTGGAAGGTGACTCCGTGGGAGCTGGTACATGCAAGGAGCTGTCTTGAAAGCTGCTTCTGGCATGTACCAGCTCTCAGCTGCCTTCTCTCACCCCATGCTGCTGCCTCTCTATGGGTATGTCTACACTACCACCCTAGTTCGAACTAGGGTGGTTAATGTAGTCATTCGAAGTTGCAAATGAAGCCCGGGATTTAAATATGCCAGGCTTCATTTGCATCTTGCCGGGCGCCGCCATTTTTAAATCCCCCTCTTAGTGTGGACTCCGTGACCGCGGCTACACATGGCACGGAGTAGGTAGTTCGAATTAGGCTTTCTAATTCGAACTACCATTACTCCTCGTGATTTATGTCCTCGGCCCCGCATTTATAATGGTGCACGGTGCCTATCGTAAATGAGGGTTCGAGTTACGATGCCTCTGACTTGTAATGCTTCCTCAGGAACTAATCGTGTCAAAAGTTGGGGGCCACCTGTATTGCCTAGCAGCATTACCAACACCTCCATTTCTTCCTGGGCTCTTAGAAGACAGTTAAGAGTAAATTAGAGTTAAATAATAGTAAAGAACACTGAGAGCCAGGACTGGTGGCCATAAACAAACTTTTATGGGACTGCAGGAAACTTAGCTACACCCATAGTAATGAACATCTGGCTAACTAAAATCAGGTTGCGAACACGGATGCTGCTGGACCAAATAGTGACGGATTAGAGTCTCAAACTATATATATATATATAAAACAAAAGCCACTATCAACACAGTATAAATTCAAGACATAAATCGTTAAAAAAATCTTAACCTCACAATGAAGCTTCAAGTTATCAATATGACATGTGAGATTATGACTTTATTCCTAACTCACTGTTTTGTATAGTATATTCAGTGTTTGCAAAACACTGCAATATTTGGTATCATTAGCTACAGAACCATTACAAAACATTATGGAATAGAGGCTTTGAATTTTGCTTCTATAATTATTCTCACCTTTCCAATTTTGAAGAAGGCAAATTATTTCCCGATATTTTTGTTGCTTTTTTCTGATCAGAACAAATATACCTTTGTAAGTCACGCTGCTTCTGATTGCTGCCAGGCGAACCTAAACATTTAGCAAAACACATTAACTTGGAAAAAACAGTGTTCACGTTACTTTGAAGTAATTTTTCAAAGAATGCTGTAACACTAACACATGTGGAAAAAAGAAGTTATCTACATAAATTGTTCTTTGAAACTGAAATCTGTCCTCTTAGGGTATGTCTACATTACAAAGTTAATTCGCAATAACAGCCGTTATTTCAAATTAACTTTATAGCGTCTACACATACAAACTGCTATTTTGAAATAAATTTAAAACAGTGGAGCCCTTATTTCGAATTTGGTTAACCTCATTCTACGAGGAATTATACCAAATTTGAAATAGCTAATTCGAAATAAGTGCTTATTTTAGGGGGCCTCTAGCCCTTCCCAGGGAGCCCTGGTGGCCACTCTGGGCACAACCAGGAAAACTTCTCTGCTCCCCCCCAGGCCCGGAGCCCTTAAAGGGGTAGTCTGGACAATAGGGGAATGTAGAAGGGAAACTGCAGAGCAGGGGCGAGCCACTTGCAGAGCTCAAGGAAGGTGACCTTCTTCATCCTGAAGTTCTGGGTCCACTGTTGGTCTCCCCAGTGCTCCAGGACAATGTGGTGCCACCAGTCGCTACTGGTGTCCAGATGCCAAATGCAGCGGGGCACGCTGGCATCTGGGCGCCGCTCCGCCAGAGTCCCCAGAGGGGGCAGGGGAAGGGCCAGGGGGCTGGACTGCAGCAGAAGGTGCCAGGTAGCCTCCAGCAATTGCTGCCAGGCTTTCAGCATGAGCACTAGAGTGCCCAGGGACGGCTCTGGCTCCATGGTGCCGACTGCAGTGGTGTCCTAAAGGAGAAGCGACTGAAGCAGGCGGAGAGGAAAATGCTTTGCTGTCCCTTGGCGAGATAGGCAAGCAAGCGGGAAAGCTGAGAACCGGCTGTCCGGGGGGTCCCTTTAAGCACGAGCCTCAGATAGCCTCAGACAGCAGCCACACAAAGCAACTACTGACCTAATGCCCTGCTGGAACCAGTTTCAGCCGCCCTTAAATGCGATCCAGCGTCCAATCAGTATGGACGCGCTATTCTGAAATAGCAAAATGCTATTTCGAATTAGTTTTTGTGTCTAGATGCGTTATTTCAAATTAGCTTATTTCGAATTAACTAATTCGAAATAAGTTAATTTGAAATAGCACTGTAGTATAGGTATATCCTTAGTGAATAGTCAGTTTCCTGGCCTCTGTGGGAAGATGTTGCTTTCAATTAAGTATTTCCCAACAGTCATATGAAAGAGAGACTCATGTCAGTTGCAGGTCCCTCTTATGTATAATGTTACTTTATTTTAAATACAGCGATATAATTTTGTAAACATAGTCTACATTGAAAGCACAAATAATTGTTTATGTTACCTTTGTTCAACCAAAGAAATTCTTTACTTTTCCCACACTTAGGCAAATCTTCAGTCTCATCCTCAAATGCCATTACCTAAAATGCATAAAGTTTACTTTATTATTTTTTCTATGTCTTCAGAAATTGACTTCTCCTAAAAAAGCCATGTACCTACATAGCAAAAGTTAAATCACAAAATAATACATGTTAATTGGAAGTTAGCTGCACGTTTAATTCGAGTTTGATTTTCTTGCTTCCACAGACATAACTCAGAAATGACCCCACCAAGTCAACAGACTCACACTGGCAGAATCAGGCTTTATATGTTTCTTTGATATTTGTCTTTTCAGCTCAAGGTTTTGTTTTTAACCAGATGGAGATAAGGCAGGGATATGTGGGCAAAAAACTTGTTTTGTAGATCTGGTAGAAAAGATTAAACTGCTTAACAAGCAGTTTGATACTTTTAAAATGTTCTAAATAAGTCCTTATTGTGGCCCTTATTCAGGAAGGTAAACACATGAGCAGTCCTAATGCAGACAGTGGGTATGGGCAACATATGAAAGGAACTCTTTAGTGGCTTAAAGATAACTCATTTTCATCATCATATGATCTGATAAGCTTTCTCATGTTACAAACTGGAGATACAAGTCTAAAGTACTCTGAATGCCAGTTTGCAACCCACGACAGTGGTGATTTTCTGATACCGCTGTGTGACTATTTCAGGTAAACTCCATCTAAGGCTAAATACCGGCACAAGACCAATAGTCAACAAGTACCGTAAGGGAAAGTTGAAAAGAACTTTGAAGAGAGAGTTCAAGAGGACGTGAAACTGTTAAGAGATTCCCGTGGATGGTATGAGGCTGGTAGCGGCTCCCATGAGACCGAGTCTTCTCGGAGTCGGGTTGCTTGGGAATGCAGCCCAAAGCAGGTGGTAAACTCCATATTTCAGGCTAGTTACTTTTCCTGTAATCCATTGTTCTATCTCACAGATTTTTATTCAGTATGACATTCTCAACCCAAATGTCTTGCTGGGATAGGGGGATCTTTTCAGTGCTATTTAGAGTTCCATCCATTGCCCCATATGTTTTGAAGGTGGAAACTAACTCCTCCGGTCTCTCACCTTGATAGAAAATGAGAGGCTGCTGCCTGAGAACAGACTTGGCAGAGGTCAACTTCAATGCTGTGAGAAATCTGCCTCACAAACAAGCAGTATTTGCTTTCTGCCTGGTGTTCCCTAGGGCACTTTGCCATGAAGGGGCAGGGTGGGGATGACAAGGAGGCACTGCCATTGTAAAACAGAGGACAAAAGCTTTACTGCACCGTGGGCTTCTAGGTAGAGGTGGAGAAGCATAGGAAGAGCTTACTGCTGCCTGGAAAAGAGAGATAAAGGGCTAAAAATAAAGAGGAAAGGAAATTAGCTGCCAACTCATTTTGCCATTGTAAGCAGATCTTCTAATAGGAAGCTAGAGGAAGACTGTGGAGAATGTACTCAGTTGGAGGCCTGGCAGAGATGGGAACTGACCCCTGGTCTGACACATCTTTGCCTAGTTATTTAACCTGTACCTGAGTTCCTCATCTCTAAAAGAGGAATAACATTTCCTTCTTCCACTCTCTGTGGGTATGTCTACACTACCCTCCTAGTTCGAACTAGCGGGGTAATGTAGGCATACCGCACTTGCAAATGAAGCCCGGGATTTGAATTTCCTGGGCTTCATTTGCATAAGCCGGGCGCCGCCACTTTTAAATCCCAGCTCGTTCGAACCCCGTGCCGCGCGGCTACACGCAGCACGGACTAGGTAGTTCGGACTAGGCTTCCTAGTCCGAACTACCGTTACTCCTCATTCCTAGTTCGAACTAGGAGGGTAGTGTAGACATACCCTGGATGTCTTGTCCACTTAGACTGTGAACTCTTCGGGGCTGGGAATGTTTATATACATGTCCCACCCCTAACACAATGGATCTCTGGGACAGTGCATTAATATGGTTAACAGAATTAGTTAATAAGGGGCACAGACTGTCCCCAGTAACCTAGTACCAGCACTAAGCTACCTCCAGAATCCTTGCACAAAAGGTACAGTCATCCTTTTTAGATTACTGTAGGTCTTAGTTCCACAGTCGCTACTACTAATTAAGGGTTAGTCTGCCTTTGGGGGTTTGCTCCCAGTAACTCAAGTAAGTTAAAGGGAAAATGCCTTAGTTCACAAGACAACATTCATTAGAGTGCAGTAAGCCCTCATTTACTACGAATTGTATAATATCTTTAAGAATATAGTCCTGAACTGGAACAGTGTCTTATCCAGGACAGCGGCTTCAACAGTGTATCTCCCTACACAGTATTGCTTTGTCAGTGGACTGACAGCATGCCGGAGTGGCCAGTTTCCCCAGTGGTGATTGTGACCCACTTGTCCTCGTGCATGGGGCACTGCTTGGCGGTACACTGCCACTGTTGTTCAGCAGAGATCCCAGAAAAATCATCTTCACCATCCTGAAATTCTCTCACTGCTGGTCATCCCAGGCCTACAAAACGATGCTTTCCCACCAATCCATACTGGTTTTCTAAGCCCAGAAACAGCACTGTAATGTGTGAAGTTGCTCCCAGAACAGCTCTTGTAGAAGCAGTTGCTTGGTATCACCATTGTCCACATCTTCCTTCCTCTCCTGATGCTGAAGATACTACTGCTGCATCATAGGGAGGGTGGTGTGGCAGGTACAGTCCAAAACGCAAAATCGCCGGACTTTGAGAACTGAAAGACAGCCATTCCTGTCTGCATGTTTGCAAGCGTGTAGGGGAGCCTGGACAGCCCTCCCTTGACCAGAACAATATCTACAGTGCTAGGCCTCGTTCTGGCCTTGTCCAAAGTATGGATCTTTAACAAAGCACCTCAGGTCTGATTCAAACCTGGGCATGCATGTATGCATGCACACAGGCCAGGCCAGAAAAGGTGGGAAAAATAAGGAATGCTTGCCCAATTATGCAGAACTTGTACAGGACAGCGAAACCGGGACAAAAAGAGCAGAAACAACCTGGTACTAGTACATCCCATTTTTTGATAAGAGAAAAATTCCAGAGACAGCAAGAAAAACTATTAATGAAGCGCTTTTGCAATATTTTGCCATTGCAAAATGCATCCTAGATATTGGCATAATAGGTATTTTACGCAAAATGTAGTTGATTGATAGATATTACTAGAATGATCAAGTCTCGCTTTGCTAGAAATATAGGGGTAGAAGATCTAATCAGTGGGAAGGATTGAGTAAGGTGTCCCCATTACCTTACTCAATGCAACAAGAAGTTGAACCAGTTTCTATTGCCCAATGCACTGGGGACACCTCTACGCATGGGGAAAGAAAGAGGCCACGACCTCCCGTCTGACAATCGTAAGGGTAACAGCATTGGAACTGTGTATGTGAATGTGTGTGAGATTCATAGGAATAAGTATATGTATATTCATAGTCTTATAACTGAGTAGTTTGTGTATTGTCCTAGGTAAAGGTGTTGTTATACTGTCTGTGCTAACTATCCCATGTATTGAAATAGATTGTGTAACTTTGCACTGCTTTCCTTTACTATTCAGTGCACAATAAAGTTAACATGAGTTCATCTGATGTGTTTTTACTGGTTCCTCCTGTATCTAAAAACTGAACCACATGACAGGGTGTCAGCATAGTAGTGTGGAGCATTGTTGGGTCCATGGTGGCAGACAACAATTTGGTGTTAGCCCATCCAGAAGGAGAGGAAGCATTAGACAGAAAGAGCAGAATCACGGGACTTTTTTTGTAAACAACCACCACCACCACCACCTCCCACTCCCAAAAAACCACTGACACCAAATCCCAGAATTTTAGGGGCTTCTTCTACTTATCCCACAATCATGGAACTCAATGGGGCGACAGATATTGCAACCAGTTCACCCTCCCAATGTGCAGAGAGAGAAATCACAGAATGAACACTGCTCAGGAGCAAAGCTAGGGACCCTTTGAAAATGCTGTGCACTTAGCTCACAGAAAACCCTCAACCCCATGTGTATACAGTGATGAGAACTGAAAGAGAATATAGTTTTATCTCACGTGTATACTATTAACTGCAGCTTAGGTATAGCATGTTAACTAACACACATCAACTCACTGTGGATTAACCTCTCATCCATGGTGACAAACCCTATGTTTCATTTGGTTAACAACTGTTCTAGTGGGGGAAACGTATGAGGAGAACTACCACTCACATCTTCCACATGAAACTTAGTCAATATTGCTTAGCACTTAGAATCCAGAGATGTCACAGTGCTTTATGAAGTTGAGTAAGCAGCAGTCTTTCTGAGTTTTCCCCCCTATGTCTGTAAGATAGCTAAGTGACTTGGTAATGCTGATCATATCAGTGACAGAATCAAACAGAAAATCACTTCTAGCTAATAGCCCAGTTAATATGTGCATTGGCCACATCTGTGAGAGTTTCTTTTGTTCACAGTTTGAATAGAGAAAGAATACTACCCCACCCCCACTCCATAAAAAATGAGCTGGCATATTACTAAATTTTCAGATAGCAATGAAGAAGAAGATATTCAGACAAGAAAGAAATGAACAGTTAAAGCTAATGACAATACAAATATGTTGTTTTTCAACTACTGTTTCTGCTGATCCCCATTTTTGGAAGCAAACTCCCCAGAGCAGCATATTTGAGCCATCTAAAGCCACGAAAGCTATGACTGCATTCATGCCCCCTTGCATGGAGATATAGTACGCAAGGGGGTCATGGGTCAGCATTCACAGCCCAGGTTGGGGAAGGGAATGTTCCACTTACTTGACCAGATTTAGTGATGAACACTGGTTACATGTCACCTGTGGCATGTTGCCATACACTAAGAAGTGCTCAGAGCGCTCGGGAGATTTCCTACTTCATCACATAGGTATTGCATTACATAAAGGCTACGTCTACACTGGCCCCTTTTCCGGAAGGGGCATGTAAATTTCACGAGTCGTCGTAGGGAAATCCGCGGGGGATTTAAATATCCCCCGCGGCATTTAAATAAAAATGTCCGCCGCTTTTTTCCGGCTTTTAAAAAAGCCGGAAAAGAGCGTCTACACTGGCCCCGATCCTCCGGAAAAAGTGCCCTTTTCCGGAGGCTCTTATTCCTCCGGAAAAGGGCACTTTTTCCGGAGGATCGGGGCCAGTCTAGACGCTCTTTTCCGGCTTTTTTAAAAGCCGGAAAAAAGCGGCGGGCATTTTTATTTAAATGCCGCGGGGGATATTTAAATCCCCCGCGGATTTCCCTACGACGACTCGTGAAATTTACATGCCCCTTCCGGAAAAGGGGCCAGTGTAGACGTAGCCAAACTGTGATACTCAAAATGTAAACATCTCTAACAAACAGTATATAAAACTACCTAAATTCCACATAGGGTGTGAAACTTTTCAAACTCTGGCCAGCTAGCTAACTGGTTTCATTTTGTTGACATTTGCACCTTCACATCAGTCCTCTTGAAATCAATCACTATTTTATCCGCCATCTCTTTCAATCGCACATAACCCTCATGAATGGCCTACTCAGGAACTATTCCAAATACAAGATCGCCACCTCATTTCTGTTGCTTCCATCCGGTCCACTTCTAGCTTAGGACAAAGGAACAATGTTCTTTATTCTGCCCTGCCATTTTTCATCATATTATGTCATATGTAGCATACTACTGCAGGAGCTGCCAATTTATTACCTACTATAAAGTGTCCAGATAATTTCACATCATTCCTAGACATTAGGTCTCGTAAACCAACTTTCAGCCTGGAGTGAGGTTTTACTGCTCTAACAAATGCTAAAAATCAGGGATTTACAATGGAACAGATGGCAGGGCTTTATTGATAATGACAATAGTGAGCAGTGTTTTGACAACAAGAAAGGCTGGAATACAGAATAATTGTTTTTACACAGACACTGATTCTTCTCCCTCATATGCACCATCATGTTTATATGCACAGAAATGAGCAAGGCTGACTTTATGAAGGGCCCATGTATAGTACTTTAATACAGTTTTCTAGTAAAGGCAAATTGATGATCAGCTACAGATAAATCAGGATGGCAAAGAAAGATAAACCAAGATGGGGAGATATTTGATGCAGATACAAGTGATGGGAAGCCAAGTACTCTGCTGGACGAGAATGATTATCACCCTAATCTAAAGCACACATGAATGCTTAAAGCAAGTCAATAATACATAGAAATGTTAAAAAGGAAGTAACAAGAGCCAAGAAAGTTGACTCACCATAAATCAATACTGCTGTCCTGGCTCATATATCTAGGATGTAATGTGCAATACAGCGGAATGGCGAGGAATTAAATCTTATGAATATAAATTAGGATTTTAATTTTATTTAGAGAAGCCTTTTACTATACTGCCTATGTTAGGTGATATGTAACTACTAATTAGCCAAGTCAAACAGACGAATGAAGACATAAAGGTGACAGCATCAATTTCGTCTACAAAATAAGTCATCTAGAAAGATAGTTATTACAACAGAATATACTGTTTATCTTAGAAGTGGGATATATCAGTGGAGATCCTGATATTGTTTCCTCAGACACAAAGAAAAGTGGCAAAGGTAATAGGCTACTGTGAGGGGGGGGGGATCTACTCTCACACAGGTGACATCTACAGATCAGTGAGGATGTGACAAGTGCTCTTCCATTGTGGCACATGCCCTGTTGATAGCCACTCCTGTCTTGTAGCAATCTGTCCGCTTCTGTTGCTTGGCCTTCCAACAGGGCCACAAGTTGTGTCCACCTGTTCCAGGGTGTGTCAAAAGCTCAACAAAGGGCTAATTCTGCTGCCCTGCTAGGACTTCAGGCTTCACCCAGCCCAAGTCCCAGAATGAGATCTTGGGTCTTTCTAGTCCCAAGTCTCTGTTGTTTTGCCTCCAGACCCATCAGAAGGTAGATAAGGGAACATGGGTCCACCCCTTGCCCACAGATTCCAATCCACAGCTCAAAGAAGACAGCTGAACTCAGTACCCTGAAGCACCATGCCATCCTAGATCACTTCTTATCAGCCTCCCTGCTCAAGAGAGAAATACAAAAGCTTGTAAACAGCATAAATCAAATAAATGATCTTGAAGATACCCAGAGTCTGCTCCCCTCAGCAGATCGAACAGACCATCAGTAGTCAGAGGCCTCAGTAGGGCTCTTTTTAGAGAGTTTCAGAGTCTAGGTCTGCTCTCCTCCACCGACTGCTTGCAGTGCACGCACAGGCAGGAAGAAGAGCTGAAAAGGATCCTCCTACCACTTGTGCATGAACTACAGGTTTGGCAGGGCACAGCTACTTGGACCCAGAGTTGCTCCTTAACCCCTTCCACTCCAGTGTGGGGACTGTACATCCCGTCATAGCTATCCACTCTATACTCATTTGCAGGGCTTGACAAACCGCAGCGAGAGCTACTCGCCAGCCCTGCACCGCGCATACACCAGACCGGCACTGCGCATGCACGCAGCACCGGTGAATGGGGTGCACAAATCTACTCGTCACAGGTGAGTAGAATCAGCGGTTTGTTGAGCCCTGCTCATCTGGCATAAAATATGGTATGAAGTATGATAATCAGATGTTCCAGATGCCAGTACTATAGTTACCTGTACTATGTAAAAGTCATCTATATTCATATATCAGAGCCATTTTGATGTACTTCATTTGACAGATGAAGGGCCAGATTTTCAGTTGGTGTGAATTGGCAAACTCTATTGACTTACAAGAAGATATCCCAGTTGCACTAGCTAAGAGTCAGAGCCAAAATATTTAGTGAGGACATTTTTTGCCAGGACAATCTGGGTCCATGTGGCAAGAGACACAAGTAGCTGCATACAGCCATTGTACCATTTTATGACAAACAAGAGAGGGGGTAAGATGAACTAAAGCAGGCCAATAACTATCGGTTTAATGGAACAAAAGCTGTCGAGGCAGTAAAAGGCAATTAATTCCTAATTCAATTCTTGCAGCTATAGCCGAACAGAAAAGCTATGATATATCTATGGAGAGTAGGTATTTGTCTAATTTAATTAACCACCAACAGCCTGAGATTAGATTGCCAGCTGTGATCACACAAATATAGTTGGAGCAAGTAATAAATGGTTGTTTCCTTAAAACAAATAAAACTTGGTGTAAGTGAGCTAAGAAAAGCTTTCTAAGAACCAGCGGAATGACTTTAGTCAAGAATGAGCTCCATGCCAAGAGAGTGCAAACCATAAGTCACACCACACTCACTAAGGAAAACAGAGTCATTTGTCTAGAATGTTATAGGCATGTCTATGGTAACCACTAATACAGTATTTAAATACTGTTCCAAGGACAGATGAATGTTAGATTATACCTGACATGGCAATAAGCTCAGACACAGACTAACTTCTAACTTCCACTGGGGCAACATAACTCCACACTGCCCCAACTTGTGCCAGAAATGTAGTGATACAATCTGTCTCATAATCTGTGAATGGTAAAAGCAGTTTGTGCTGGGCCCTGGTTCCTAACCCAGGTACTAAGTCATTTCAGCAGTCATGTTCCACTTCAGTGTCTGATTCCAAGTGCACTTCCATCCTTAACTTAGGGTAATCTATATTCTGTACTACTAACTCTGATCATATGTAAAATGTTCCCTGTCCTAGCTATGTCATCAACAGTACAAGAGGTGGGCAGAAGCAGGAAAGGAGGTGACAGCTGGCCCAATCTCATCTCTGGGTTGATGTTGTTATAATAACAAATAGTTACACCTGATAGAAGCAGCCACATGGTCCAAGTGACATTTGACCTGACAATACTTCACTTGCATGTGAAACGTAGTTTACTTGAGAAATAACTCAAAATCTGAAATGGTTTAAAATATTTATTAGAGATGGGCAGTAAAGAATTATTCCACACTTGCACTCCAGACAATCCCAGTCTATTTGGGCATCTTGTTTCCCAGGTGCACAAGACACCCCAATAGAAAGACACTTTTGGGGCTGACACTGTATGCAAAAATGCCAAAATACCAAAAGCAAGGTAATTCACATAACATTTTTGACCAACTTTGCTAGAGTGAGGACTGGACAATGAGATAGCCTATTCTCTTGCCCAGAGTGACTGGGAGAAGTTCTGCTCAAGTCACAAGGTTTTTGTGTGTAGTTCATATGGTAGTAGCATATGTCCTATTTTAGAGGTGGGAAAAGTGATGTTAGGTAACTCACTTACAGTGTGAGCATTAGAGAGTCAGTGGCACAGCTAGGAACACAAAGCAAGTGTCCCAACTCCTACTTTTCAGCTCTATAAGACCGTGCTGCCTCCTAAAGAAGCCACAACTTGCATGTTAGTCACATCTATATAGGAAATATACACTATACATGAAACTTACAACTATTATAATTAATGCTGGTCAACACAGAAATGTAATACTGCAAGAGATCTTGTGAAGTCACAATGTCCAGTCCCCTATACTGAGATAAGACCAAGTTTGAAGTTGTGCCTTTAATATTATTTCCTTGAGAAACTTCCAGTTCCCCGATCTTTTTCCCTTACATTTTCTTCCCGTGAGATCTTACCAGTTACCTAAGTCCGCTGAAGTACTTTGTCCTTATTCAGCTGCTCCCTCTCCTTCCTTTCCTTAGAATCATTAAATCTATCACTTTATGACCACTTTTTCATCCAAATTGCCTCCCACCTTCAGATTCAAAGCCAATTCTTCCCTATTTAAATTCTAGTTAGACAAAATTATGCCACATCCCCAATGCTAGCACAATGATGCTAACAGCCATTTCAAAAAATGGTGTTCTAATAGAAATTCACTTAGATTTCACAAAGGATATTGACTACAGCTTATTTTACACAGTGCTTATGGGTTTTAAATAAAGGTAAAAAGTCTTCTTACACAGATGATTTCAGGGTCACTGTCTTCTTTTTTAATATTGGCAACTTCTGATTTCTCCAGAAACATTGCTTGGTTCTCTCTGTCAGGAAGAGGCACCTGCAACAAGGTATGAGAATTGGAAACAAGATGTCTAGAGTTAGTTTTATTATGCCAAGAGCACAGATGTAGAAGCACACATTACCACCCAAAGTAAAGAATAATTTTTTTTCCAGTGTGTGTCAGCTATTCAGTGTAGAAACCTGCATCTTTGAGAAATATTAGCATTATTTAATAACAATGTACTACAGCCGCTCCCTGAGTTGCAAACGGTCGAGTTACGACCATTCGCACTTATGACCAAAGCTCCCATGGAGCGGTCGTAAAGGCAGTCCCTGAGTTACGAATGTGACCCGCGCTTATGAACAGCGCAGTCATGTGTAACTCAATGGGGTCCGAGTTACGAACAGTTCGAGTTACAGACCAAGTGTTGGTCCGTAACTTGTTCGTAACTCGGAGAGTGGCTGTACTGATTTGCCTCCTGCTTTTTAGGTAAAAATGCCCAGATGATGCCTTTTTAATTACTTCATTTCCACAAGATGCATCAAAATACTGAAATATCCACAGCTCAATTCTAGTTCCATTTCTAATTTTCTAGAGGGCAGTGTCCATTCTGCAGGTGCCATTTCTACTAGCAAAAGTTGTACTTGTGACTGAATTGTGTGTGCAAATGTCCTCAAACTGTCTGACTCCAAAGAGAAACACAGATTTGCACCTGCAGCCCATTGTATGCTATTTGCACTGTCAACAATGATGCTAGGCATCAGTCTTCTGAAAATTTGCTCTTGAATTGAATCCTGGCATTTAAATAAAGTCAATGTACAATATCCAAATCAGCCCACACTAATAGAACTATATGGGAGCAAGGTAATTAGTAATCTCTCCTGAAAGTCATAAGCTATAACATCAAGGTTATAGGCTAACACTAGACTCAACGAGATTCTTGAGCTCACTGCCAGCCTCAGATCACTCACACATAAGTACAATGAGCAAACACAAGACACTGGTTTCTTAATCATGATCATCTATGTGCAGAGAGATGAAAGAAATACCGTATTTTCCGGCGTATAAGGCGACTCGGCGTATAAGACGATCCCCTAATTTTCTAGTTAAAACATAGGTTTTCGTCTTATACTCGCCGTATAAGACTACCCCCCCCTTAAGAGGCCAACCGGCAGTGCCCCTCTGCTTCCCCGGCTTTGCTCCCGGTGTCCCTGGTCTGCTGGAGACGGTCCCCAGCAGACCAGAGGCACCAGGAGCAAAGCTGCAGCAGCGGCGGGGTGCCACGCTTCTGAGGGGTATAAGACGAAACCCTATCTTTTAACTAAAAAATTAGGGGGTCGTCTTATACACCCAGTCGCTTTATACTCCGGAAAATACGGTAACTTAGGACGCCGGCAGCGGGACAGCTGCGGCGCGTCTGGGCTGCCCCGCTGCCAGCTTCCCCCGAGGCTTTGCAAAGCCGCGGAGGGGCTCGGGCAGGGGGGGAGCCCGGGCGTGCCTGGGCTGCCCTGCTGCCGGAGCCCCTCCGTGGCTTTGCTCCGCGTCTTCCTGGTCTGCAGACCAGGGAGACGCGGAGCAGCTTTTCTCGACCCGGAGTCCCGCAGTCCGTGTCCTCCAGGGTGAGAAAAGCCCCGTTCGTACCTGCAAGTCGGGGACTGCCTGTATACCAGGCATATAAGACGACCCCCGATTTTTGGGGGATGTTTTTTAGCATAAAAAGTCGTCTTATACACCGGAAAATACGGTACTTATGTGTTACCGCATATGAGTATTTCTCTGATGGATTTAAGTATTTTACATATGCTCTCCCTGAACATAAGTTATATTGAAATCCATTAGTCCAGGATATATAATAGACATCTTCTGAAGTGTTAAACCAGGAAGGCACATAGAAAGTCCTCACTGAAAACTGAGATTGGCTACGGCAAATGGATTACTCTAGGTATCTTCTGTACTCTTAAGGACATAAACAGAATATCAGTTCAGGGAAACAGCTTTATAATAGTTTCATCTACCTCTGCTGCTTCAGAAACCCCCAGAAGGAGTATTAAGTACTTTTGGACCATCTCTACCATAAAACGGGCAGTATGAAATGATGTTAAACTCATGGTTTTAATAGACATTAACATGTAAACATAGGGAGTGAGCTCCGTGTACTGATTGTTAGATGAATATTTGGGGGCTGTTGCACAGCATCCTATGCAGTATTGAGTGAGATTGTGTTTTTATTTTTTTTAAACTATTTTTAGACATGGAATTCTATTGCTCTTGTTAATTATATGAGAAATTTCCTTATCAATTAAAAAACACAGCACTTAATCAAGAAGGAGACTATAAACTGGTTACAAAAATATTACAAGTTCCTTAGTATTTGTGTTGTGTTAGAACCAAGAGACCAGGCCCCAACCTGTAAGGGAATGCACAAACACAACATGCTCAGTCTCTGCCCTGAAGAGTTTCTGTTGTAACTTATGTTTAAAGCAAGCCCGGTTTAGTACTTCTTTGGGTTTCCTTCCACACTGCCTAGTGCTACCTGTTATTATACCTGTTCTTTGAATGGCTCTCTATTTAATCTCGAATTATTTAGAAAATAAGATCTTTGGTAGAGCAACTGTCTATTTTTGTGTTTGTACAATGTTCACTACATTGGGGCCTTATCCTGGATAGGCTCCCTACCCACTCAACACAATGGGCATTAATGCTTAATAATAGTACATAGAACTTTTAAGGTAGTCTACGGACACAAGAGACAAATATACTTTCACATGGGCATTCCACCATATTTTTTCATGCATTTCTACAAGCTAACCTTACACCTCACTGATTATAGGAAGCTAGTTAACAAGGGCCATCATTATCAAAGTAACGGAAAAGATTTCAATGACAGTTCATGAATCCTTTTTAAAAATGGTAATTCTTCTTCATTTTTTTTTCTTATGAAGTATGCTTTCCAAATTGATAAATACACAGTATAAATCGCACTAATAAGCAAGCTACTTTAGGAAGGAGATCAGAAGCAAAGAAATAAAGTGGTACTATACCAGTGAAACTCTGCGAGCCTTCTCCAACAGGGAAATGGGAGGTACTTGTCGTTCATGACGTCTTGCTTTCTTTTGAGAAGTAGCCCTGTGCTCTGAAATAGCCCATCTTTTAGGGTCTCTTTTTTGCATGTGGTGTTTTCTGCTACAGGTATCCAAATCTAAAGATGACGAAGCTGGCTCTCCATGAAAAGCATTTCTTTGACTCACTGTTTTCTGAACACTTTCATTTTTCTTAAAGAAAGGAAACTGTCATCATATCATAAAATGGCCATTTCTCTTTTCATTGGGTCATTGAACAAGAAAGCTCACATCTTATTTTACCTCATAACTCGAGTTACCAAAGTTTGACCTTACTAAAAGCTTGACCCAGAAACCACTGAAGTAAATGGAAAAATTCCCATTAACTACAAATGGGTTTTGGATCACATTCTTAATGTGTTAGAAGGCTTCCTCTGCAAGAGGAAACATTGCTTTATTCTAAGGACATTTTGACCTGTGCAGGACTGAGGTAAATTACTATGTGTGGACTCTCTTTAATTCCTTTCTGTCTCTGCTAATTCACAACAGAAAATAGATATGAAAGGAGTTTAATTACTCACATTTATTAATAGAGTTCCTCTGCTGTCTCCACACTGAGTAAATGTGTGTGGTTTTATTAAACGAGATTTCTATAACAAATAAAAATAAACACACGAATTTCAGGAGTTTACAGTAATTTATACTTGTCACAAAATCAGTAAAGACTCTCTGACTGTTTCTTAACTACTTACACGTTCACTGTTGTGACGGGGGGGGTCAACCCCCACACTGACGCCTGCAACCTGGCGAATGCCGGCAGCGCGGGGAAAGTGGCGGCGGCGGGCCAGCAGCATGGTGACAGAGCAGGAGCCTGAGCCATGAACGGTGGGCCCTAGGGCCCCGGGGAAGGGTGATGACGTGCGGGGCGTGCGGGGGCAGGACGCTGACCGGGACGCCCATAAGGGGAGAGGTGGGGAGGAGACCGGGCAGGGGGAGAGCAGGAGGTGGCTGTGTTCTCGACCCCCACAGGTGGTGATCCAGCCAGGAGCAAGCGGAGGGCACTGGACGCTACGAGAGACCGTCGCGATGTCCCTGACGGCGGCAGGATGCATAGGGGAGAGCCCGGAGAGTACCCCGCGGTGACGGGGAGGCCTGGACGGGCAAGACTCCGAACTGTGACAGCGCGAACGACATGACGGGTAGCGTCCATGTGATGGGCCAGAGGAGCGTGTGAGAAAGGGGCCTCAGCAGAAGGCCCCAGGGACACACGAGAGTGACTAGGGGCGGGGACTCGGAGTGACATCCCGCTACAACTGCGAATGCCTGAATTTAATATTTTTAATACTCTCATTGTTGTAGAGGCAGGAGGCATTCACACAGAAATAAGTTATAAATAACCTCTTTAAATACTTCTGCCCCACCCATCCTTATGAAAGTCAACTCACCTTCTGGTATCTGCTCCATGTAAAATGAGGCTTTCTGGGGCATCTCTAGCTAAGAAATTTTATACAGAACTGACTCTACTGTCTGACGAGAGTTTATTTAAACAAAGAGGGAGGAGAATTAAGCAAGGTTAACCTCAAATTCTATTCCCCAACACTTAGGTCAACACAGCACACTATGAAGCAAAACAAAGCCTTCATAAAAGCATGGTTTGTTGGTTAGAAATTCTCAACAAGGAACCTAGTGGTCAGAATTGTAACTCAAAGGCCACACAGCATCTCTGTGCTGGCTAGTCAAATAGACAAGAAAAGCAAGTGAATATAGCTTCTATTTTTCAGGGACTATCAAGTAAACTCTTCAAGATCCTGGAGCAAAATAGAGAACACTTCCCCGAAAAAGTCCTGTTCTTCACTGGCTGATTAGAAATGCAGTGAGTTTCCTCTTTGATCAGGTACAACAGAATACCAAGAAACAGGCTCAAAACTCTACGTGCATGACAATAAACCTGCCTGTCCTTCAGTCGCAAGGCTCCTCAATAATGGTACTCAGCTGGAAAGTCTATAAGGGTATGTCTACACTACCCCGCTAGTTCGAACTAGCGGGGTAATGTATGCATACCGAACGTGCAAATGAAGCCCGGGATTTGAATTTCCCGGGCTTTGTTTGCATAAGCCGGCCGGCGCCATTTTTAAATGCCGGCTTGTTCGAACCCCGTGCCGCGCGACTACACGCGGCACGGGCTAGCTAGTTCGAACTATCTAGCCCGTGCCACGTGTAGCCGCGCGGCACGGGGTTCGAACAAGCCGGCATTTAAAAATGGCGCCGGCCGGCTTATGCAAACAAAGCCCGGGAAATTCAAATCCTGGGCTTCATTTACACGTTCGGTATGCATACATTACCCCGCTAGTTCGAACTAGCGGGGTAGTGTAGACATACCCTAAGCTCCACAGAAGCTTCAGACAAATAAAAAAAATAAAGAGTAAGGCAGCAGGGAATTGTGCAATAATCCTATTTGCTTCTGGCTGTTGTTATTGTCTTTAAGTTACCAGCAGCTAGCTATTACAAGCATAGATGTGTATCTTGTCATCCTCAAATTACAGATCCTGTGTCCCTAGCCTCTGTTTCTCTGGAGGTGGGTAATGGGGAGGGATCACATGAAGATTACCTGTTGTGTTCCTTCCCTCTGGAGCATCTGGTGTTGGCCATCGTTGGCAGATAGGATACTGGGGTAGATGGATGATTGTGCTTGGAGAGAAAGCAACACACAGATGCTGGCCCTTACATAGACTTCCTTATAATGTTGGGAACATTATAATGCATGGAAAGAGGCTGTACAGCCTTAAAACCATGGGCAGCAGGAAGGGAAGTGTGGGTCTCCACCCAAAAGAAGTGCTGACTGGGCCCCAGAAACCATATACCCTCAAAGGACCACAGAGGGGAAATCATAGAATCATAGAATAATAGGACTGGAAGGGACCTCGAGAGGTCATCGAGTCCAGCCCCCCGCCCTCAAGGCAGGACCAAGCTCCGTCTACACCATCCCTACAGGTGCAGTTACTCAGAAACTGTGATGGCAGTATTGTACAAAAGAGTATATGATGCCATAAAAATAGTTCACCGGCATACTCTTCAATTACAGGTGTAACATGACAGCAGTCTTAATAGACAAATCCTTCCTCTCTTTTCACATGGGATAAATTGGAGATAGCTATACATCTAGATTAATTTTCTATATTAAGAATCTAGGGCCACATTTCTGTCTTTAGTACCACTGGCACCGAACTGGAGCAAATCTATTAAAAATCAATGGACTTATCCTGGATTCTTATTGCTGGAGCTAAACATAATACCTCACCCATGAAATGCAGGAATATCGGAAAATAATCACTGTAGTCAAGAGGCATTTTCATGAGGTATAGTGCAGTCATTTTCACAAAATGTAGTTGGACAAAAAATACTATGCAACGTTCTTGACAGCCTGAGTTAAATAAACCTTCTTACATAAACTTGTCACCTGGTGGAGTATGCCCCCAAATTCAAGGGTAGACAAGTAACAATTGTTTTAAAAATGATTCATATTTGATTTCAAATGCTAAAAAAAATCTCAGTATCACATAAGAAAATACTTGAGTGTATAAAGATTAGCTGTTCAGTAGTTAAAATGTGCTATTTCCTTCAGTACACAAGTTACCATTACACTCTGGAAACTACAAAGGTTTAGCAAGTCCCCTTGGCCACCTTCCTAAAACCTAAGTGTAAAACTAAATGCTGCATTTTGTTTGGAAAGGTGATTAAGTGCAGCACATACACAATGAATGCCATCTCCAGCCTGCCCGCTGAGAATCCAACATGCTACTCACTCTATAATGGCACAGAAAAAAGAAAAAATGCTGATTCTTACCAGCACTTATAATTTTTCCAAGAGAAATGATAGCATTAAGTTGTCAAAATAAAATGTACACACTTCTCTGTGAAGTGTGCAGGATGTATGCACAGCTGGAGTGATATCTAATATGCATTCAGCGATTGAAGAAAATGCTTTACTGACCTGCTGGAGTTCTTTGAAGGTATTACCACCAAGATAAAGGCAAATTCAGTGGATGTAGTTACACTTAGATTTTTCAAAAACTGTTTGACAAGGGATTGCAATCAAAGATAAGGAAAGGGAAACAGGAGGTGCAATACAGTGCTTGAAGAAACCCAGCTGTCTGAAGGGGAGAGAACACATAGCTGGGAGCTTTTCAATTTGACAAGAGAGGAGTCAAGCTTGCGCACAGTCTTCATCTTCTGCAGAATCAGTTCCAGAAATGGGTGAAAATTTGTCCACATACAAGTGATCAGTAGTTATCATAAGAGCACTGACATTTAGCACGTTAATGCAATTAGTGCCACCATCGATCGTACAGTGAATACTTGTATTACCACAGTAAGACTCGTTACATTCCAATGCTAAACATAAGCGTTGCCATGGCAGCATGCACATACAATCAGTGAAATGAATAACTGTACTGGAAATAAGTTCTCCAGGTTTGCAGAAGATACTAAAAATAAGAGCAAATTGTAACTAATCAAAGCTAATTATTGTGGAAAAATGACCGAAATCACCTTAGCCTACAACAATGGTTTCAGAGGCAAACAAGATATTAAATCAGTGGTCTCCAACCTTTTAACCACAAGATCACTTTTTCAATTTAAGGGCAATGTAAGATCTATCTCAAACTCAAATACCTTTGCCCCACTTCCTTCTCGCCTCTCCTTTGAGACCCTGCCCCACTCCACCCCTTCTCCGAGGCCTCCCCCTGCTCACTCCATTCCCCTTCCTCTCCAAACCTCATTCACTTTCACCAGGCTGGGGGTAAGGATTCGGGTGCAAGCTCCAGTCTTGGGGCAAGGGATTTGGAGTGTGGGTAGGGTTGCCAGGTGTCCGGTTTTGAACTGGACAGTCCAGTATTTGAGCTTTCTGTTTGGGAAATAAGTTGTAATGTAGATTGTGATGTAATGTCAAATGTGTCCGGTATTTTTGCTGAAACCATCTGGCAACCCTAAATGTGGGAGGGGCTCCGGGCTTAGCCCTAGGTGGGGCATTGGGGTCCAGGAGGGGTTTCAGGGTACAAGCTCTGGGAGGAGTTTGGGTGCAGGGGGACTCAAGTCCTGGGCAGCAGGTTGGGTATAGGAGGCTGGGACAGGGGTTCAGGAAACAGGCTCAGGCTGGGCACCATTTAACTGAGATGGCATCCCGGGTGGTGGAGCTCGGTGGTAAAGGCAGGCTTACTCCTGCCCTGGCCCTGCTCCACTCCTGAAAGCAGCTGGCATGTACAGCAATGGCTCCATGTGCTGCCCCTCATCTATAGGCACTGAGACCACAGCTCCTACTGGCCATGGTTCCATTGTTGAGGAGTGGTGCCTGCAGGAAGGGTTTTGGACTCAGGGAATTCCAGAGGGCTCTGGAAACCCTGCTATTCTCTGTATCTTTCTACAGGTGGTGAGGGCCATCAACACCATCCTGCTGTGCAGGGTCATCATCCTGGGCGACATGGACCCCATCGTTGCCAGCTTTGCTGCCATGGACTTTCCCAACTGCAGGGGAGCCACTGACAGCACCCACAACCCTATCCAGGCCTCCGACCTCTGGGCATCAGATTATATCAACTGGAAAGGGTACTTTTCCATGGTCCTGCAGACCCTTGTGTATCACGGAGGCCTGACATAAACATTGGGTGGTTGGGGAAGGCACATGACACCTGTGTCTTTCACAACTCCAGCCTGTTCTAAAAGATGCACACTGGCACTTTTTTCCCCAACTGCAATATCAGCGTCGGGGATGTGGATATGCCCATGTGCATCATGGAGGACACAGACTACCCTTTGCTCCCCTAGCTGATGAAGCCCTACATGGGACACCTTGACCAAAGCAAGGAATGTTTCAATGGCAGGCTCAGCAGGGCTTGAATTGTTGTGGAGGGTGCCTTCGGCCATCTTAAAAGGAGGTTCTGTTGCTTCCCCACCTGGCTCAACCATGGTGAGTAGAATATTTCCCAAGAACTGGTGGCCTACTCTGTCCTGCACAACCTGTGTGAAAACAATGGGGAGACATTCCTGCCAGGGTGGGGGGCAGAGGCTGAGAAGCTCAGAAGGGCCTTTGAGCAGCCGCACACGGCTGTGCGCACTTGGGAGGTCCTGAGGAAGAGTTTCAGACAAAGACACCTGTGAGACTCTCCCCGGGCCTCTTCACAAGGGGCCTCTTCATTTCCCCTCTGTGCCTTTCCTCCCCATCCCTTCCCCTGCCCTCCCTTCCCACCTTCCTCTCCTCCACCCCTCCCCTGCAGGCACAATAAACCACACTTTTTTGTTTTGAAAGAATAAGCTGTTTTTAAAATTTGGAGTAAATGTAACTGAGGAGGGACTGGGGAAAGAACCTGGGAGGGGAGAGGAGGAGGAGAGGCTCAGGGATGGGGCTGGGACTGGTGCCTGCCTCAGGTGGTCTCACTGCCTCTTGCGGTTACAGGGAGAAGCCAGAGGGGTGGGAGCGGGAGCAGGAGCGGGAGCTGAGGCTGGAGCTGCAGGGATGGCTGATGCACAACTCAATCGCGGTGACCATGTAGTTGGCAGTGGTGATGTATGCTGTGCACAAGTTCTGGGCCTCCTAGGACAGCTCCCGCTAGGTGGAGCAGTGCAGCTCTTGGTCAGCACAGCACTCCTCCAGGTCTTGGTACATCTTATGGTCCTGCCACTCCAGAGACTGATGAAGCCAACAGGGGCAGGCTATGTGCTCCCGTTTGAGGTTGTCATGGCATGGTTGGCACCTGCAGATCTCATGGGATCAGGAGGCTGATGTGGGAGACGTGGCTCATGCTTCACTCACAGCTGGTCCAGCTGTGAAGAACAGTGAGAAGGGCAGTCATCACAGAAGACAGCGTGCATGAAGCCCGACCCTCATCTCTGAGCAGACACCAAAAGGTCTTGGGTCAGATGAAGGTGATGTGCCTCAAACAAAGCTATCTGAGGCCTACTCAGTGGTCCCTTTCCTGCAGGGGCACAGATGTCCCAGGGAGAGCATCACAACACCCCTGCCCCTCTGTATCTGTGCGAGTTTCTTCATATGGTTGATGGATTTCCATTCCAAACGGCTAAATGTAGTGCCTTGCATGTAGAATAGTGATAGAAATGTAGCCGTGTTAGTCTGGGGTAGTTGAAGCAAAATGCAGGACAATGTAGCACTTTAAAGACTAACAAGATGGTTTATTAGATGATGAGCTTTCGTGGGCCAGACCCACTTCCTCAGATCAAATAGTGGAAGAAAGTAGTCACAACCATATATACCAAAGGATACAATTTAAAAAAATGAACAAATATGAAAAGGACAAATCACATTGCAGAACAGAAGGGGGATGCGGGGGGGTGGGAAGGGGGAGGAAGGAAGGTAAGTGTCTGTGAATTGCTGATATTAAAGGTAGGGAGAGTGGGATGTTTGTGAGTTAATGGTATTACAGGTGATAATTGGGGAAACTGTCTTGGTAATGGGTGAGAAAGTTCAAAGACTTGTTAAGTCCTTGTTGGTAAGTGTCGAATTTTAACATGAATGACAGTTCAGAGGATTCCCTTTCAAGTGCAGATGTAAAAGGTCTTTGTAGCAGAATGCAGGTGGCTAAGTCATTTAGAGAGTGTCCTTTCTGGTTAAAGTGGCAAGAAACTGTTTTCTCTTTGTGATCTTGTCTGATATCTGTTTTGTGGGCATTAATCCTTTGGCGAAGTGTCTGAGATGTTTGTCCAATGTACATAGCAGACGGACACTTTCGGCACATGATAGCGTAGATTATATTTCTGGATGCGCAGGAATATGTGTTCTTGATCTTATAGCTCACTTGGTTAGGTCCAATAATGGTATCAGCAGAATGAATATGTGGACAAAGCTGGCAACGGGGTTTGTTGCAAGGGAAGGTACCAGGGTTGGTATTAGTGTGGTATGTCCTGTGGTGGTTGGTAAGAATCATCTTGAGGTTAGGTGGTTGTCTATAGGAGACTATGGGTCTGTCTCCCAGAGCCTCTTTGAGTATGGTATCCTGTTCCAATATAGGCTGTAGTTTATTGATAATGTGTTGGACAGGTTTAAGTTGGGGGTTGTAGGTGATGACAAGTGGTGTTCTATTGTTGGTTTTCTTGGGTCTGTCTTGAAGTAGATGGTTTCTAGGTATTCGTCTGGCTCTTTCAATTTGCTTTTTTGTTTCTCTGGGTGGGTAGTTGAGATTTATAAATGCTTGGTAGAGATCCTGAAGCTTCTGGTCTCTGTCAGTGGGGTTAGAGCAGATGCGGTTGTATCGAAGGCCTTGGTTATAGACGATGGATCGTGTGGTGTGTTCTGGATGGGAGCTGGATGCATGTAGGTAACTGTATGAGTCAGTGGGTTTTCTGTAGAGAGTGGTGTCTAATTTTCCATTGTTGATTTGTACGGTGGTGTCCAGGAAGTGGATCTCTCGTGTAGAATGGTCCAGGCTGAGGTTGATGGTGGGGTGTAGGTTGTTGAAATCTCTGTGGAATATCTCCAGTGTTTCTTGGCCATAGGTCCAGATCATAAAGATGTCATCGATGTACCGTAGGTAGAGAAGGGGTGAAAGGGGACGGGAGTTGAGGAAACGTTGTTCTAGGTCAGCCATAAAGATGTTAGCATACTGTGGGGCCATGCGTGTACCCATGGCTGTGCTGCTGATTTGGGGGTGGCAGTGGTGGCATCCCACAGGGAGAGGACTTGTATCCCCGCCCCCTAGAGCAGGCAGTGGAGACAGAGGGGGTTTGGAGGAGATGTGTGTGAATGGCAGATGCCATTTGCCAGGGAGGGTGCCACTGGGGTCCCCTCCATGTCCTCCCTTTTGGCAGAGTCCCCTGGCAGGGGCTTGGTGTTCCTCCCCCTCACCACACTTAACCATGCGCAGACACTGCCCCGAGAGTGTGGATATGACTCTGTGCCATGTGTGGCACTGCTGTGTGTGTTCATGACCCCACCTTCTTAGTGGTGGCAGGGTGAATAAGTTTTTTCAAAATAACACTGCTGTGTAGACATGCCCAAGGTGTGCTAAGTTATCTAAAGTAATGGTAGAAGATTTTTTAAATCTAATTGTGGAGTTTGTCCCCCTGCATGGGACTATTTCAGCAGAATTAGGCAAATTTATGAGTGAGCATGAGTAAGTAAGGACAAAAACTACAGCTACCATAACAAATAATAAGATACGAGACTCAGTACCAAAAAATATGGTGAGCGAGCTCTGAAATGGATTGTTTGGCAGAATGGTCTTTTCTGTTTCTATATTGTTATGGCTCTCTTCTACAGTATTACAACTTTCTTCTTCGAGCACAAGCACTTTTCAGTCTGAAGAACGTAGCACTGTTAGTGTTTTGAATCAGGTTATTTTTGAAAACGTTGTCACTAATGTAAAGAGTTTGCTTTCTGCCCTCAGAAATGCCTAGGTGAAAAGAGATGTTTCTTTTGTAACCAGGCACTGGTGTTTTGGCTTTATTCCCAAAAGAATAGTATTTCTACATGCTGATTGTGACCAGCTCTGTTCAAGGACTGAAGCATGTAGTGTAAAATGAACTAGTCACACTAGGAACCTATTTTGACCATAATCCACTGATTTTACTTCCAACAAACAATTAAGCCCTCAATATCTACTACCACGCCAAATCAAAAAAGGACAACAATGTTTATATATGCTTTAATGAGAGGATTATTTTTCATCTATAAATTAAGCTATTTATCTTTTTAGTACCCAGTAAATATAAATTCTGTCAAAAGATACCAATATTTCTGGAGTTCATCTACTACACAAAACTCCCACTCAGAATTTGGTAATGAAGAATACAGTAAAAGTTTCTAGAATCCTAATGTGTATTAGAAAATAAATGATAAAGCAAAAAAAAATATTCAATTCTCATCTCTGAAGATAACATCAATTACATATTGCTTTTCTTACTAACTAGTAGAACTGAATCTCACCTCACATGATTCACTTTAAAAAAAAAAAAAACCCTAAACATCAACTCAGAATCTGACAGGTAATAAATCAAAGTTAATCAAATGATTATCTTTTAATTAACAAGTCCAACTCTATCACTGAAAAAAATGCCATGGAACATATTCTACCTGAATCAAGAGTTTTTACACAGTCTGCTTTTCTACCCATGCTTCCAGGGGAAAAAAGGTTAATTTGTAACAGTTTACCTGGAACTGTAAGTTTTCCAGTTTCCTTTGATGTCGCTGGATTGAGTCTATGAGGACTTTTTCTTTGTCATTCAATGACAGTGATAGTCTGTTCAAAGTGCCCAAAGGGATGGAGGGTAAATGTTCTGGTCTATTACACCTACAATATAAGGTTTCAATCGATATAAGACAAAAATGAGTGAAAAGGAATACGTGCACTGGTATCTTCTATTGTCTGGCAAGGAATTACCTGCCATGGTTCAAAGTACAGTACTGCCCTCCAAAGTGACTAAAGGAGGAATCATCTTACAGAATAGAACTGTTCTCTGAATGTACTCCACATCCCTTCTGTTAATTTCAGTGAAAAAAATAAGCCTTACTACTTTTAACTCTCATTAGTTCTCGGTGCAAACACAAATTACAGGAAGAAAGATGGTTTCTATTCTTTCTCGTGCACCAGAATTACATACCATGACCTAAAAAAAACCTTTAAAAATGGTCCAGTAGCAATTAAGAGACATATATATATATATATATATATATATATGTTAGTCTCTAAAATTTTAAGTTTTTTTAGTTACAGACTAACACAGCTATCCCCCAGAGACTTTTACTATGAACTTGGGCAATGCTCTAATTCCTAAATTGCTAATTGCACAGGGACTACCAAGGCCCGGTCTATACTACACAGTTAGGTCAACATAAGCTGCCTTGCTTCAACCCAGCTGTAGATGTGTCTTCACTTAAATTTAGCTGCCACTGACATAAGTGCCTCATATGGATGCTATGTCAATATAGATGCTGCTTTGCTGATGCCAACTGTTACTGGCTTTCAGGAGCTGTTCCACAATGCCCTTCCCCCTCCGACAACACAATCCATCTACCCCTGACATAGGAAGTCAAGTGTGCAATGCACACAAGCAATTTAATAACTGGTGGCTATATGGCAACCCAGCTTAATGAAGACAAGGACTGATAATGTGACAAGTAAGATGAATATGGAACAAAGCTTGACTGTGAGAGCCCATTTTTGGATTATGAGACTGGCAGTCAGAAAAAAAATACTTACCTGTAATTTCATTGTATTTAGTACAAACATAGGATGCCATTTTTTACCTTTCATAATAAAGACATACCTTGGCTGTGCAGGAAGAATGTGTTTGCTTTTTCTTAAAAATAGCTTTTGTCTAAAGGAAAAAGGGTCCCCATTCCCAGTGGCATAGAATTTCACTCTGTCTTTCTCTTTGCCACATACAGGCAGTCCCCGACTTACATGGATCCGACTTACGTCGGATCCCTAGATACGAACGGGGTGAGGCAACTCCTGCACATGCTGCACATGCGCAGCAGCATTCCCGGGCTCGCTCACCTGGGTCCTAGGATCCTCCTCCTCCTCGGGCCGGCTCCGACTGGGGTCCCGCAGAGCTGCTGGGCAGAGGAAAAGTGCCTCCCCACGCCCACTGCCCCCCCACCCCCCTGCCAGCAACAGGCTGCCCCCTCCCCTGAGCAACAGGCTGCTGAACAGCAGACAAAAGCAGCCTCTCCGCCCCTCCTCCCCCTATACATGCTGGGCTCCCTGGGCAAACAAAGACTCCACCAAAACAAACAAAGTGCTGGCCTCATTGTGTTAGCAAAAAAAGGACCCTCCTCCTGGAACCCTGGGTGGTGTGTGGAAATAAAGCTATTAGCTCAAAGCATGGTGCAGAGCTGTTTGGTATTTGATGAGTTACTCCTTTAGTCCTGAGTTTGTCACAGGGACAGAAATAGATGTGAAATCTTCTGAACAGGGGAACAGACAGCAAAACAAACATTAGAGGGGAGTTAACCTTTCCCTATGCTATCCAAAACTAAAAAAAATGTTTGGCTAGAGTTTCCCCTACAATATGTACCAGTTCCGACTTACATACAGATTCAACTTAAGAACAAACCTACAGTCCCTATCTTGTACGTAACCCGGGGACTGCCTGTACTGCACACACACACACAGCACCCTGTTGGGACCACACTGATGCCAGACTAGCATTGAGGCAAGCATGATTTCACTGAAGTGGAACTTTTGGCACTAAAGTCATGGACTATGCCAGACAGACTTGTATAGTACCAGAACTGATACATATGCTACCTACTACTTACTGGATTAAAAAGGTTCAATATATCCCCATTTTTCTGTTGTTGTTCTCTAATATAATGATCACAATATTAGTTTCACATAGTGTTTGCTTATGCAAATATTTTATAACACGTATGTTTCACTGTTTGCATTTACTGCAGTCCTCTGGCTTCAGAGGAAATGGCTAATAAATGGTCAACTTCATCAGTATATTAATCAGTGATACAATATTGCTAGTCAAAAGCTTACTTGTTCTCCAGAGGACCAGGGATTTTTGCACAAGTCCAGATGCCATGCTGGTATCCATTTTTAATATCAGTAGAAGATGACAGAACCCTCCATTTAAGGCAGACATCTAATTAAATGGTTAGAAAAAAATTACTACCTCACAGTAAATATAAAAAAAAACCCACTCCCCATTTATTGTGGTAATGTGATTAATGGCATTCAACATGTGCCTCTGTCTACTAACCCCTCTCTGAAGCTGTTAGAATCTCGGCATATTAAGAGTAAGTCTAGCAAATGTCTGTCATATATATATATATAAAAAAAGGCAACAAGCAATAAACATTTCCCCTTTCCTTATTCCTCCAAAGTCCAGCTGCCCCAAATTCCAGGCCAGGCAGCATTCCACCTTGAGCAAAGTGACCCATCAAAGATAGAAATGGATGATTTTAGCACCCCCAAGCTCTCAGAAAATTAGGAACCAAGCTCACATTCTATGTGGCATAAGGCTTCCAACCCCACAAACAAAGAACATACAGGGCCCTGTAATAGCTTTACACGAATCATATCAGTTGCAGGTCACCTTTTGAAGTTTCTAAGTTAGAATTGTTCTCTCTCTGAGGGAAATCCAGTTAGTTGGACTCATGTTAGCAAAGAAATCACCATGTATAATTTCACATTTAACATACAGATTGACAGATACTTCCCATTTAACATTACTACTGTAATGTTAGGTAGTTAGTGTATGTTGTCCAACACTGTCACTTATTTTGTTATTTCTACCCCAAGGACACTTGTTACTGAACACTTTCCGGAAGGTAGCTGATCACATTGCAGTAGGCATTTGGAAAATATAAAGTGCTGCAATACCTGCTGGGCAAGAACTGACCCAATGTAGGTTTAAATACTCTATTAGGATTAATAGTAAGAAAAGGTGGGGAGTATATTTCTGTATAGTGGTAGTTATTGTGCCAACTATATTAGAGGCACTAAAGTTTCACTAATTTCTAGACCAGGATCAACATTTTGAAATATTTGAGGATCAGTTAAGGAGCAGTTAACCATTACAAATGCTTTCAAGATATAGGCTGAACCTCTTTACTTTGTGCTGGCCCAGAAAGCCCCTGGTGGCTGGGAGTGGGAGCCGGCTTGGAGTCTGGGGGCAAAGGGGCTGGCAGTCAGAAGCCCAGCCTGGTTGGGATTGAAGCATGGATGGAAGCCTGGCTAGGGTTAGGTGTGCAGCTGGGCCGGTAGCAGGGGGGCTGGCAGGCAGGAGCTCTGCTGGGGCTAGAAGCGCAGCCCGGCTAGCAGCAGTGGGGGCCAGCAGCTGGTAGCCTCAGCTGGGCCAGGAGTTCAGTCGGGCTGGTGAGCAAGAGTGCAACCAGGTCCAGAAACCCAGCTGGGCCAACGGCAGGGGAGCTGGCGACTGGGAGCCTTGGGTGAGCTGGCAGCTGGGAGCATCAGCTGGGCCCAGAGCACTGCTGGGCCAGCACTTGGGAGTCCAGCCAGGCCCAGGAGAGTAGCTAAGCTGGTGGCAGGGGGGCTGCCATCTGGGAGTACAGATGGTCTGGCAGAGGGAGGCCAGTGGCCTGGAGCTCTGCCAGGGCTGGAAGCAGGATCAAAGGTCAGGAGGTTAGTCCGGGATCAGGGCTGGCAGCCAGCAGAGGAGCACTGGCCAGGGAGTGGGGTCGGTGGTCCAGCAAACTCCTGGTTTGGGACTGCTCAGGTCCCAAGGATGCCGGACCAGGAAGATGCAACCTGTACAAAACTATATCCGGACATGATAAATCACGAAATATTATATGGTAAATAGACTATTGTTTTTCTCCCCCCAGCCCTCCTGCACCTTGCCTCTCTCTTCAATTCTGACATGAATTTAGCAAGCAGATCTGACAAATTTGTGAAGTGCTTTATGTGTCCAAGAAATAAACTGCAGACTGCTTTGAAATGCAGTGGGTTTCTTTCAAATGGTGGATTACATCTGTATCGGAATGGGATGGAGAGACAAGATTGATGTAATTTTGAGGGTCTCATTTCCAATAAGCAACACGCCCTGACATGGGCGGAAATGAATACTGTATATAAAACTGTAAAGTTCAGCACTGAAGCTATCTGATGATCTATGGAAAGTGTTAGTGAGTCCTGATGATTCAAGGCCAGGGACATGGAGGGGTTTTTTTTGGCACTGAACTGGGACTAAACAGCAAATTTCATGCTGGTGTGAGGTTTTTGTTATGTTAGAATAGTTTCAGAATTGTCAATGGACAAAAGTACTCTAATGGGATACTTTAAAAACGTTGTTTTCCATCAATGATTTTTACTTGACAGAAGTTTTAACTGGTATGTCTGTAATAAAATTTTTTTTTTCTCTTGATTTTTTTAAATTCAAGAGGTAATTTAAATGTCATGTTCTGTGCTCACATTTTTATGACTGGCAGTTTCCTTTCTGGAAACAGACAATTTAATGTAGGGAACACTATTTTTGTGACAGGGATGTGGGAAAATTCACTTATTGGGCTTTTTTATGAAAAAGCCTTTTATTAAACTTCTGACTCAGAACTGCAGGAACAGGAGCTCAAAGCTACTTAGTAGGATAACAAAACACGGTAATCATTTAATTATACTGTGCTCAATTGAAATGTGAGATCAGTTTCATGCTAGGATACTAGAGGCACAGCAAGCTGCCTGTAAACCCAAATTTTGCCACAGGAAGCTGGAAACTCAGGAAACATTTCAAAGTTAAAAGAGCAAGGTCTATACAAAGATAATGCTGGTAAAAAGCAAGCAGCAAAAGTTAACAAACTGGAAAAAAATCCCAAATCAAATAAAAACTGCTCAATTTGCAGTTTGATCCTGTCCTGATGCAGAGCAATAAAGAACCTATTCTTACATGGTAGAGAAGCAAACTGCTGGGAAAAATGAAACAATTCTACCAAAAAATGCCATGTAAGGAGAATTTTTAAAAGGAATTTGGCAAATTAATCTTAAGCAATGGTTAACTATTGACTAAAAGCAAAAGCCATGTTCCAATTCTGCTGTTCTTTACCAATAATCCAATCACTCTGGAGCACATCAAAACCACGCAGCAGTTTTTTGGCAGCTTTAAATATGATGAGATGAAGCTTATAGAAGTGGAACATGTACAATTATGAAAAACAGCTCTGAATGGCTTTTTAAAAGGAAAAGAAGGATAATGAAACACAAGGGCTACATGAGGATCTTTCGAAGGAAGAAGAATAAAAAAGCACAGCAGTATACAGTGTCAAAATATTGGGGAAAGTTGAGATTGAGGTGTTTCCATTTAAAGGCTTTTTATTATCCCATTAAATCCTCTTCTCATATCTCCTTTTATGAATCCAATTATATATAAACTCACCACACTGAGCCACGACAGGAATTTCCTCTGCACGTCTTCTCTTGTACTGAATTGCATCTGAGGGTTTATCCAACCATTTGTCACTTATATATCCAAACTCATTCCAGAATGAAGTTACTCCTTTCTGACCTAAAGAAGTATGTATATATTATATGATATGATATGATATTAATAATTTTCAGTGGTAGAAGAATCCGTTGAAATGTAAACTACAGATGTTAGTTAATGAATATTGCAACTGAGGCTATATCTACACAGCAACATTATTTTGAAATAACTTAGTTCGCATCTACACAGCAGGCAGTTATTTAGAAATAATGTTGAAATACTGTCAAGCTGGAGGATTTGTTACTCTGACTCTTGTAGCCCTCATTGTATGAGGATTAAGGGAAGATGGAGGAAGAGTGCTCTATTTCAAAATAAGTGCTGTGGAGACAGCACCAAAACTTGAAATAAACTATTTTGAAATAAGCTATACAATTGACGTAGCTCAATTTGCATAGCTTATTCCAAGTTAAGCCCTGCTGTGTAGATGAGCCCTGAGAGACCAGTAGCTTTTAAGAGATATTGCAAATGGGCACTGTACAAGGAATTGAAGCTGTTACTGTGCCCGGTCCACACCGACGGCCTCGGGTGACTGTAAAAGCTACAATCTTCTGACGTATCTGATGTATTTGATAAATTAACAATTTGACACCAATTTTTTTAAACAGCTGTATATAAAACAAGCCAGGCTAAAAATAAATAGTTACTTATTCCTATGTCCTTCCAGTACTGGATCAGATGATGCCTCATGGATGTGAGCAAGTGGTTATATTCTTTAACATTGACAAAGGCCTGTTTATTGTGTGTTGGCTCCATGGTTTCCAGGGGCACATCTACCATTCCAACTGTACCACCACTGAAATGGGGAAATAAAACCATGAGTTCAAAGCATGTTGATCCAAATTCAAAGAAAAAAATCACCTATCTTGTTTGCAGCTTCCCTCACCTCATTTTAAAAATAAGTATTTTCTATTCAGTAACATTATTCTAATAGAAAACTGAGCCTAACATCCTGTCTGATCAGAGTCAAATGCAGAATTGTATTTAAGTGTCTTCTTTTCAAATGAATACATGAAATAAACCTCAAAATACTAAGATTTAAACTGTAAGGACATATCAGAAGGGGCAGGATAGGAAAAGGAACAGACACACATCAGGGATTAGAGGGTATAAAAAGAGCAACACTTATACACAGGTAAAAACTCAGAGAAACTATCAACAATTTCCAAACTGCAATCACAAATTTAACAATAGTGAATTACTCTAAAAATTACTTTGAGAACCACAAAACTATTTTTGGAATAATTTACTTTTCCCTCAGTACATGTACATAACTCTCAAAAATATATAAATAACCCAAGTTGTTCATATGCTTGAAAAGGAAATAACCTCCATGAGGTGAGATGATGGATTTTAGGCTCCTGCTGGTATATAGAATACCTGCATCATAAAACAAAGTTTTAAATCAAGTCCCTAGAGAGAGTGATAATAAAGAAAGCTTACTGAGACCCCTGCTTAAGATGTGGTCCCACTTTCTCATACATTCTGATTAAGCGACTGTTGTTATAGATGAACATTCCCTCTTGACTTCTGTTTTCTATGTTTATTCCAAAAATTAAATAGAGCTTCTTTGGCCTTCTCAATTCTCTAAGGAGGGTAAAATGAACAGTTTTCTTTCATAAATTTCATTTTAACGTTTTTTTAAAAATATTTTTTTATCTACAGTTATCAGCTTAATAGCTGCAGCTAATCTGGTTTAGGAGATACAGAGGTTGAACAGTTCACTTTAGCCAGAAATATTGTTACCCACCACCTCTGTGATTCTTGGGGAACCAGAACATGGTCGCCTGTCAGCCTTGTGCTCTTGGGGAGTCAGGGAGTGACATTCATGGAAAACCATCCCCCTCCCTCAGGCCTCTGCTAGAATCAAAGACAAAGCAAAGAAAAGGCCGGGGGAAGACACACCTAAACTGCTTCAGACAAGGGTGATACAATTAAAAAACCTCCCCAGCCTCATTTACATTAAAGATGGAACAGAGGGACATCTCATTAGCATACAGAATGGAGAGCAGCTCTTCCAAGGCAGGAACCGCAGTGAACTATGGGACACCGAAAGCAGAGAAGCACTGCCTGATGGGAAATCCCTGCTCCAGATGCTAATGAACCTAGGCCTGCTCACACCCAAATTAGTCATTATCAGACCAATTCTAGTAACGATCCTATTGACATCTAAAATACTGAAACTGCCAAGTTGCATTGTGAGCTCGTTCAAGGAACATCACCCATAACCAGGGGTGATCAGTCTCTATTGTCTCTCCTCTTTCTCTTTGAACTATCTCTATAAAACTCCTATCCTTGCCCCAAGAAAACTGTTCTGATACCTGGACTTAAACTGCATCAGTTCCATTGAGACTTCTTCATCTCCTGTCTGATCGTGCTGGGGGCTCTGTCCTGCTTTTCTCCTGCCCTCTGGACCCCCGGCTACCATCATCATCTGGGAACCCCGATCAGTGCAAGCTCCGTGGAGTGGTGAGGTCTCTCTCTTTCTCTCTCTCTCTCTTTCTCTCTCTCTCAACTATCTCTCTAAGCATAGCCTCCTGACCCTGCCCTGTGTAAACTGTTATATGGTTACCTAACGTTTGTAATCAGTTTCAATTTAGATTTAATATTGTAATTGTTAGATTTAATATTGTAACTGTTTGATATCTATTCACTACTCAGAAATAAATCACTTTCATTGTTAAGCTGGTTGCTTCTCTCTCTTTCTTTCTCTTTTGCTCACTCTTCCTTAAGGGGTGTTGTTTTGGCTTCCCCATTCGCTCTGCAACAACGCTTCTTGTACCCAAGCAAAAGATCCCTGTAGTGCCCAAAATCCTGTGGGGTTTGCTCATCGTGTGGTTTACCTGTGAATGACTGTGGTGTGAAAGTGGGGATAGGGGGTGCTGAACCTGGGGGCTTATGAGGATGGCAGCTTAAAGTGCTGTTTAATCCAGCCCACGGAGTCCAAAGGCACATGAGGGTGCAGTGTGGCATTGCTGTGAAACCCAGCCAGCTGAGTCCAGGGACATATGAGGGGGTCAGCTTGTGAGTGCTGAGTACCCAGTCCTCTCAGACGTGCTCTGACTAGTGTGTGTGAGTGTCTGTGTGTGTTGCTAAGGTGGGAAGAACCCCATCCTGAGGAACCTAGTTCCTGCAGGAGAGCTCCAGTGGGAGGGGGAATTGGCAGCAGGGAGAATTCAGCTCCATATGAGAGCCCAAGTAAGCACCAACAGCACACTGATAGAACTGTTAACCTTCCCCCAGTCCCATAAGGGTAACCCTGATAAATGAGCATACCCCAGAGTATTGGGCAAATCTGGTAACAATATATATGATAAAAAATTAATTCTCAATGACAAAAATATCCAAAGTTGTAAAGATTAATATGATTCTTGGATTTCAAAGTGATGGGACATACATCCGTCTACTGGAAACAGATTAAAGGAAGATCACATTCACCCATTTTTGAAAAGAGAAAATTCCTGCTTAAAATCAAACCAAGTAGTACTTAAAATTGAATGCCAAAGCACTTTGGCAGCTTGAAAACAGCACTAACTGATAACTTCCAACTTAACCTCCAAATTGCTATGAAAATTTTCATGTTTCAATATGAGAACAGTTAAAGGCATTATTTCATTGCAGTTGTAGAGGAAAAATGCCTTCCCAAACTGGCACTTGTTTTCATTTCATAAAGTTTCTGGCTTATGAATTTTTTTAAAATTAAACATACTGTAACCATCATCCATTAGTAAGCAACAGAAAATCAGCCAGTTTTGTTCTTAGAGTTGACTTGTATAATTCCATACACTTCAAGTTTCCTCCCATTTAACTGCTGCAAAATGAAAGGTTAACGTTTCTATTGGCTTTGTGGAACTTTCTGCAAAGATCTGCCCCTGTCAAAGAGACTAATCATGAATGAAGAACTTCGAGTAACATGAACTGAGGAAGTGGGTCTGGCCCACGAAAGCTCATAATCTAATAAACCATCTTGTTAGTCTTTAAAGTGCTACATTGTCCTGCATTTTGCTTCACAGTTTTGAGGGTAAGCCTAAAGTATTAAAACTGGTATGACAACTCTCAGGTAAGCACCATTGTGTAATCACTGCTTATATGCTGCATTTGCCAGTAACGTTAGAAAATGTAGCAGCATTAACCAGCTAAAGAAGAACACAAAGCCCATGTACTACAGGTGAGCTTCAGATTCTGGGAAATGAGAATTTTACTTTCAGGAAATAATATTAGTGGTTTTCCTTGAAGTGAGGATCACCTAAGCAAGAACGTGTTTACTGTTACCTAAAGAGGAAACTCTACACTTAACTTGGTTTGTTTCCTCAACAATATCCTCTAGTTCCAACAGAAATCACCACAAATGTCCCTTGTGTCCTTGGAATCTATGAACCTATACACTTTTTGTTTCAGAGTTGTTATCTATTCCAAAATTCATGGCTCATTCCCAGGAAGTCTTAAAATAATTCTGGGCATCACATCACTGATGCAGTGTTCAGAAGTGCTGGCATCAAACTGAGATTTAAAGCCATTAAAAACAGAAAGGCAAGTCTGGTAGAATTACTTGTCTTGCAGGAAAAAAAAAAAAAAAGCAAAGTAACCAAAGACTTTTTTTCTGCTGCATTGATGGAAGTAGTGTTTTCTTTGTATTAGTTTCTCTCTCCTCATACTTACTTAAAAATTTATGTCGACAGAGTGCATGGAGTGAAACTTGCCTAACTATACTGTGAAGGGTTTTGTGGGGAGAAAAAGGAAAATAGCCCAATGAAATAAATACCTACCCACTGTTAGTTTATTATTGTCCCTATACATTAGACAACCTACCAGCAAGAAATTGCTCTTTCGAGCAAGGTTTGAACTCAATTTTACCACTTTATGGATTACGTATGGGCATATCCATGGGTCATTAGATAACTGGTATGGACTGTCACACCTAAGAAGATTTTACAATCTCTATGTTAATTAGTCTTAGCCCATAAGTTGCTCTTGCAAAGTCCAGGCATCTGAATGACACTCAATTTGTTCTGGCCATACTAGGCAAAGAGCCCAGCATAGAGTCTAATCAAGGAGTAAAGAGAAAATAGGTAGATGTAATCACGTTATTCTCTTCATGCAGGATTAAAAAGGGGAAGACCTGCATCTTTGATAGAAACTGGGTAAAGGAAAAAAGGAGGTAAGAACAAAGAGGGGAAATAATTTCCCAACAGCCAGGAGGGCAGACAACAAAGAAAGCAAGCTTTCTCTCTTTTAACAGTCATGATATGGGGAAACGGGATGAGGCATCCACCTCACCTAATACTGTGTTAAGTACTGAAGTGCTGTAATGTAGCAATAGGCTTAAGTAGTGACTTTGAGGCAAAAACAACGCTCCCCCTTCATGCACACACACTTCCCCAAGGAAGTGCAAGTATGTGTGTCTCAGATACTGTCAACATGAATGCCTTCAATTTGACTACTTGAATGTCTGACCTGAAGAGGTCATTATTTTACAGCTTTCAACCAGGGTAATATTTACCTGCAATCTTCAGTTTCTTTGGACACTGAAGTAAATTTGTTATCCTTGGTAACACTCTTGGTCTGACAAATATGCCTGTATGTGGAGGAGGTGTTCTTCATTCTGTTCAATTGCAATCTGTTTTGCAAGCCATAAAAATAGACACACGCAGCCACTGCATGCTCTAAAAGGAGATTTTGTGCTACAGCCTTATTGAGAAGGTGACAATAATTATTTCCTCATGGATAAAATCTGAGCACCCTTTGGACCCATGCTGAAGAGGATCTGGTAAACAGAAAGTTATCCACCCTCTGGCTTGCCTTCCAACTTCCCAAAGGGACCCAAACTGAGGGACTACAAATTTCACTTTTTTTTCCCTGAAGAGAGGATGTTTGAGTTGAAGCACTGTTTTGGATATTAATTAGAAAAATAAGCTGTTGACACTAATCTAGGCAACAGTTGTGAGTTGTAGGCTCAAGCACACCTTAAAATGTTGTTAGGGTTTGTTGGAAGCAGACTCCTAAAAATACTTGTTTTTGCAAGATCAATGGCCCTATGTCTCTATCATACTTCTATTTCTAACTGAATTACCATGTGACAAGGTATGGGATTTTGAAATGTCTTGTGTAATACTGCTTAGATTTGACCCAATAAACCCAAGGTCGATTTTTCTCCAATATCTCAACATCATAGAATCAGCATTCGAGCCTCTTCCAGATTTTTGTAATCATATTACAAATATTAAATATTTGTTTAATCTGGTGCATGGAAAGAAACATAATCTAAGTGTCTAAATAAAAATATTCCTTCTAAAAGACTTGAGCAAAAAATTATAAGGACTGAAAATTTCCAGAAAAGAATAAACGACTGGAGCATCTAAGTAATTGAAAAGCACCTTGAAACAGCTGAAACTTGAGAAAGCACTATAAGTATCAGACTCTGGATTAAACATATTTACAACATATAGCGCACAGACACTTTTTCTGAAACACTGATTTAATGGTTAAATAGTCTCACATCTTGCCTTTGTTTCTCCTCCAGCTTCTCACGCATTCTTTTTGCATTTTCTAGAGCATCCTGTAAGGCAAGCTGAGCAGACTTTTCCATTTAGGAGAAAGAGAAGTAAAACAAATTACTATAGCATCAATTAATACCCTATGTTCCCTCCCCGTCTCCCCCGCAACCTGCTACCCAATTCTGAGAAAGTCAATATTCTGGAACCCACCCTACTTCCAAGTATATCTGTCACTACAGTCTGTTAACAAGCTGGAAGCTTCCAGGCAGAGTTAGTACACAAAAGCTTAAATCTGGATATAGTGATACATTTTCACTTTGCTGCTCAGAGCACAAAACTCAAAGAAATGGAGCACAAGGCAGTAGGTTTTAACTCTTTCCTCCAATTATATATATCTGAGGCCCCAGAGTAAAACTTCAATGATACTGGCCCATTTCACATTGCACCAAAACACTGTGCCATAAAGTGCAAGTAAGAGTAGTTCTGGGGTAGCCAACTCTTTAACAAAGAGACAAAACAGCAGCGGAAATAATGCAAAGAGCTGCACCAAAATTGTCAAGCAAAAAAACAAACAAAAAAAAGGAGGCTGCCCCTTTAAGAAACAAGCTTAGGCTTTTGGGCCATATCAGGCTCTCATCAACGGCCACCATCTTGGGCGCCATTTTGAATTGCCGCCCTGGTGAGCACGGGGGGGGGGGGGTCGGGGGTC